TAGGAAAAAAAATGAGGGGTCAGAATTTAGGCCAGGAGCTCTGCAAACGGCATTTGGTGCCGGTGGTGGATATGATTACGCTCAACTAAACCCACGTGTAGCGACAATCTCTTAAGAGACATTGGAGGAAATGAGAGCACATAATTGTGTGAATAAGTGGATGGGCCATATGAAATGGGGTTGAGAGAAAGAGATGCGGCATTAGAAGATAGAACAAAAAAGAGGGGCGAGGAGTGATGATACAACGTTTGAACATAAAATTGCTCAAAGGGCTTGCATTTACTTGTCGCTTTGATAAGTTGTAACTCTGTTCTCACTAAGATATTGGTGAAAATTTCGGGAATGTACCCAGCCAATCGTCCAATGCTGGAAATCACAAATTATATGGCAGAGGACACGCGACTAGGTACGTTTCACAATGTCTCCTTGACGCTCCGACCAAGTTGCGAAAACACGGTCGAACAAACACTTTAAATGTCTGACATTCGTCTGGAAACGCATTGCCTTCTATAAAATTTTGGACACATAAAAGAGTTTCTTAAAAGTATTTAGGCGAAGGCCTGCACAAGAGACATATTCTTAGTAATCGCTGAACTTAGGCTTCCTACCTCACCAATGATAACTAGGCGTGATTAAGCTATACTATATCAGACCATGTTGCGAAAACAAGGTCAAACAACCTCTATATAACGAAAGGAGACTGCGACCACACAAAATGCCACGACATCTTGGTCTTCATACCTTAGAATATATGCTTACAGAATTTCAAATGTGTTTTAACGTGAACAAGAAAAAATATGATAGGTGCCAGAAGTTTACGCGCTACTTACACGTATATTGTCACCACCATCCCTTTGGGCTGGTTGCTCGTCTTCAGCTTGTAGCCTGAAAAAAAAATATAACACTTAAATTATTCTTTACTCAAAAGAGTTTAAAAAGAAGCGTGGCTTGTAATCATGCTTATGGATCGGATTAAAGAAGAGTCTAGCAAGGATTCATTTGAAAATGCACGAAACTATAATAAGACTCGTTTATTCTATAAGCTCTTAGAATCCTGTCTGGAAAAGTTAGCCATATTCGTCAAACCGGGCTATATAATTAACCCATTCCCCTTGAATAATTAGTACTCCTAGTCAGGATGCTTAGAACAGGTAAGGAAGAATATTTTTCAATTCAAGGATAGGAAATTCTATTCAAAGTTGGTTAAAAGTAATAAAGAAATGTTTATTAAAAATTAAATATCTTAGAGTGAAAAATAATGGAATAGATCATGTTACATTATTCGGGCACATTTTAATAAAAATTGCGTCATAACTTTATTCAAGTGAAGGGCTTGATTCCAAGATTCACTATATAGAACTGATTCATATTTAACAGCGCATAGATTATTATATCGTGATTTCGAGATAATAAAGCTTAATTTTATAAAGTTGTGCCAAATAAGTCATTTAAAGGTTAAAACCATTTAATCCCAGTTATTAAGAGAATAGTTAAAAATGTATATTTTTTATGGCTATATTAATCATCAACAACTTGTACTCATTTACCAAAAATGAATGAAAAACTGGGAAGATAAAGGAAAGAACGTACTTTTTTTGTGTTTTGATGTAAGAGACAAGACTTTTGTAAAAATTTGGGTTTATTTTTAATAAATCCCTTCGGCGAAAGATATACTGAAAGTAAAAGGATAGGATAATTTGCATATGAAATACGCTAAATTTAATAATTTACTAAGTTCATCTGATCCAATGAAGCCAATTGAAATGTTAAAATGAGTTCATAAGATACTATTGCTTTAGTTCCTCTTAAATCTATAAAAGACATTTGCTGAACATAAATAACAATACAAGATTAGCCGTATCCCAACAGTTATGATTAGTTTTACAGGATGGGTTCGGACCCTATAAATAGCTAGAATGCAATTAATTAGGTTATTAATTCCACAAGTAGTGTATCTCATAGTAAAACAATGCAGCAAAAGTTTGTATTCACATCATTCTGTCATAGCAGCATCAAAATCCAAGGCAACCACAATGTTGCCGCTCAAATTTTTAAACAGGATTCAATTACATTTATGCTTAGTGTAAAATGAGGTATTTCACCTTCTGTCATTTGTATTCTAGTGTTAGCATATGCAGAACCTCTTACTCAAAATAAACAAGTAGATTGATCAATGTACAACGGAAGATTCACTCTCTAACTATATAAAAAGAAATATTAAGGACTCGGGCTTTGATAATTGCCAGTAAATGTGCCTTATGCACAGTTCTCATTAGCAGGATTCAATTTCATATTTCACATGCCAAACTAAGGCTTACAATCAACGAAATATAACTAAAACAAGCAACCTAAAGATATTGAAATAAGCTATTTGACACTTAAAACGAGTTTAGCATATCAAAACAGGTAAATTTGGCCTAGCCATGTCTTAGGACCAGAAAGCTTAAAAAGAGCTGCATAGACTTACTTTAGCTCCAGTAAATAGGCGAATTCGATAGCGGAAGCGTAAGGGCATACGAGGATCGGGGAAGCCAAGGAAGCCGCCAACCAGGCGCCCGGGTACCCAACATTCACAATTTGACTGGATATTTTTCACGCGAACCAGTACTGTGTCGGCATCCTGTTATGGTAGAGATGATAGTTTTAATGTTATTATAATAGCGTTGGAAATTATTTAGACTGTATGCGAAATTAAGCATTTATAATAGAAGACATCTAAAAGAGCACATGATTATGAATTCGTTTCTTATTAACTGACATCTTTTCTCAATCAATTAAGCTTCGTAGTCATTAATGCTAGTGAGAACTATGTCGATTATACTAACTAACCCCAGATTAACTAGTAAAAGTAGGTGAAGTAGTAAGATCGCTATATGTGCTAATGAAATTATTATATATAAGCTATGACTACTGAGAGAATACAGCTCATCCGATTTACCGGTAGTCTCGAAAACCTAATCAGAACGAAAAATTAGTGATGTTGTCGATTGCTATAGCAAATATAAGTTTGCTTAATCGACAATCCAACCAGAGAATGTAATATAGGTAAATGTCTAGCCTTCCTAGAAATTCACATCTGCACTGTGACCCAAGGGCACTCGTGGCAATGTGACCTAGTGGTTAATGTGTCGAGATTAAACACTGTACTGTCATGGTTAGAGTCTCGTTGATACTGTTGATAAGACCTAGGCAAAGTCGAAACTGCAGTTCACTCAGGAAGAGACTACTTTTTTGGAAAGCAAGGCTGTATGAAATGCAATTGAAACGCCATATCTACTCATAAAATTGTGGGAGAATTTAATTACCAGTCCTTCATCACCTTAAAAGGAATAGGGTAAACATAATTCATATATCTGATTTACTGGTAGTCTTTAAAACCTACTTAAAACTGCAAATATTGTAACCTAGCCGATTTAAAATGGGGGCCTACTCAAAATAAGTGTTTAGCTGACGTTAAATTCGGTTTTTGAATAATGTAATATTTTTTTGGAAGTGCAGGTACTCCTATGTTAACTATGCATGAAAAAGGGAAATCAAAAGTAATTTATAAATCTATTCAAGTCATCATCTTGGCCTTTCCGAAAGCATTCAACCTACATCAGACTCAATTTTGATAAAAAGGAAGGCTTTCAAGAACTTGACAGCATTAGTGACAAAATGAGGAAATTTTTGATACTAAGTGAGGATTTGAAATCAATCCAAGGGATTATACTTCTCAAAAAAATATCAAAAATATTATTGACCCTTTTATCAATGATATTTCAGCAATGCTCTTTGACACAATATAGTTAGAATTTAACATATATTTTTCGAACAAAGACATATTATATTGTAAAAGCTTTGCTAAATCCTTATTGTTAATATGAGGGAATAATTTAATCTCTGTGTAATGTAGCTTTTCCCCTTTCTAGGGATCCAAAGAAGCTTACTTGATCGGAATACACTATCACAATTTATTCCGGATAAAGATGAACCTGGTATTCCGGAAGCTTCCGGAATGAGTTCCAACTCTGACGATATCCATCATATAAGGGACGAGGGTTCAGCACATTTTCATCTGAAACGAGGAAGAATATCTCGCGGATTGGGTCAGAGGCTGCGGAACCAAGGGAATTAGTCGTATTCTGGTGAGATTGACTTAAAAATTTCTTAGTTAGCCACTTCTACATAAATGAAGGTCTACATAACAATGCTATCTCAATAGATTACTCGAAACCTAGTTACACCTGAAGTCTTTGTTTAACTGCTCAATCTTTAATTGAATGGTCCCTTATGCTTAATAACAGAGTTGGCACTTAATCCTTAGGAAACTATTATAGTAAAGCTATTCAGTCGGCATATGATATCAACATATGAAAAACTAAGTGGAGTTAAGATGGGCGTCAGAAAGTAGCTGACAACATCTGCTACTTCGTTCTTCACCAGCAAACAGGTAAGTTTAACTATTCCTTTCGGCCATTAAACTCTTACATTTGCGCCACAGACTAGTAGTGAGGAATTCGTCAAGTCGAATCCTTGTCATAAGAGTCAAATTCGAATACACTTGGATATGGTTCAAACAAGTGATTATTTCGAATGAAAGTTAAATTTTATATATAAGTGCATTAAGAATTTCTTTGTGGAGGCATGAAATTGCTCTAATGCATCCTACTTAGTTATACTACAACCTATCAGCCAAAATATAATTCAAAAAGTGGTTGCAAAAGTAATTCAGCTAAATATTATATAAGTACAGATAATTATAATATGGCAAGAGAAATATTGGAAAATATATCAAAGGTAATATTCAGAAAAAATTAGGTAGTAAAGAGACTATAGCATAAACCAATTAAAGCGAATTATTACTAAGAGAGTTTGGGTATGAGACATATCAACAATGGGAAGAGTAAGTTGATTAGGGATTTCACACAGCTTTCCATTGTGGCGCAACCGAATAATCGCAGCGTCGTTGTTAAGACATCTGACCACAAGTCCTGAAATTGAGAAATAGTGCAAAGAAAAGTAAATAACTATTTGAAGCAGGCATTCTTCTAGACAATCAATACCTTGGTAATAAGAAACTAAGGTAGCTCAAGGTAATGTAAGGACTGCTAGTTGATTTCTCCATAATGAAATGAACACGCCTTACGATGCCATCCAATTCTACCCGACCTTGTCTCTTAAAGGGTTAACTCATCTAAAGTTGACAGCATTTTTGACCCCTATTAGATCTCATCCTAAACTATTTGGATTCGAAAGCGGTTAAGGTGCATAAAATGGATATATGTTACCACTAGACCACACAGCCACGAGTAACAATCGGTCAAAGGGCAGATTAGAAGTTTAAGGCAGGACAGTGCCTCTCAAAAGTAAATTTAGAGTAAAACTACCGATGAGGCTAACTCGGATATATCATTAGAATTGACCATGTATAGAGAGTTGGTTCAAGAATATCAGTAATCCTTGAATTATAAAAGTGAAATCCCAAGCTATTAGAAGAGATAAGCAGTATTAAACATTTGAAGTAATTTAGCTATCATAATAACAGCGTTAAAAAGATGAGTTAGTCACCTTTAATCCTTTCTAATGGTAGAGGAAATTTGATACAAGGTCAAGCAATCTCTTAAAAGGCTTACCCAGACCTAATTTCGGGTACGTTAGACTACACTAAACACGTAATTTAAACAAATAACGAAAATCTATTGAAATTTCACGACGGAACGACTGTTTTCTTACATTTTTCGTATGTAATTAGAGTTTCGATACTACCAGTAAATCAGTAATATGAGATGTATTAACCCTATTTCGTTTGAGGTAATGAAGGACTGGTGGTAGAATTTTCCCACAATGATATGAGTAGAGCTGACGCTCCCATTGAATTTCACATAGCCTTGCTTTACCAAAAGTTGTCCTCTTCTAAGGTGAACTGTAGTTTCGATCTCGCATAGGTTTTATCAACACCCCTAGCGAGAGTCGAACCGTGACAGTACAGAAAGTGAGCTTAACACGTTAACCATTCGGCCACATTGCCACGAGTGCCCTTGGGTCACAGGAGAGATGTGAATTTCAAGGAAGGTCAGTCCTTTTCCCATATCACATTCTTTAATGGGATTTTCGAACAAGCAAACGTATATTTGCTATAAAAATCGATTACTTTACTTATTTTTTGTATGTGAGTAGAGTTTCGAGACTACCAGTAAATCAGTAATATAAGATGTGGGAAAAGGCCTGACCTTCCTTGAAATTCACTTATGCCCTGTGACCCAAGGGTACTCGTGGCAGTGTAGCCGAGGGGTTAGCGTGTCAAGCTCCCATCCTGCACTGTCGCGGTTCGACTCCTGCTGGGGGTGTTGATAAGACCTATACGAGGTTGAAACTGCAGTCCACTTTAGATGAAAACAACTTTTGGGAAAGCAAAGCTATGCAAAATTCAATGGAAACTTCAACTCTGCTCATATCATAGTGGGAAAATTCCACTCCTAGTCCTTCATCACCTTAATCGAAATAGGGTGAATACATTTCATGTATTCTTAGAGTTATAGCGTGTTTGGAGTAAATTTACTTAAAGTATCGAATATATGAGGACCAAGATGTTGTGGCCTCTGGTATGGTCGCAAAGAATGTTACAGAGAATGGCAAAAATCACTGATAATGCCGACTAAGATGCCGGCGAAACGTTTGAGAATGTACCAAGTCCACTTTCTGATGCTGGAAATCATGACAACTACTATGGCAGATGAATTTGGACTAGGTGAGTTCTACTGTCTCCCTGACAACAATACCAAGTTGTGACAACGAGGTCAAGCCACATTTACTTAAAGTATATCTGGTATTTTGGTCAATCCGATTATAAATTTTAAAGGAATAGAAGATGTTGTACATTTTTGCATTATGATTTATCTGATAATCGTATTTTCTATTTGTAAGAGTTAATTTTTCCCAAAACTTAGGATTCAGGAGCTGAAATAAATGCTAAAGGCGTACCTGGATAAAAAATACCATCTTCGAAATTGAACGAAATGACGCGCTGGAGACACTTGCGTTGAAAAAGGAGGCTTTCAAGGGCCGGACCCATTGTGGACCCTCTCGGTAGTCGCTGGGCGCAGCCTGGTGAGCGAGAAGAATGGCCAATCGGGGAGTTGGAGAGACCAACGCGCTTCCCGTAATGGTTTTGGGCTCGAACCCGAGACCCTGTCTTTGGCGAATGGAAGCTGGTAGATTCAGTATCGTGTGAAGTACTACCTGTTAAATGGATAGTACGTTCCGTGGTGTGTAGGCGCCGAGGTCGCAAAAAACTTGGTGAACGGGCGTAGGATCGGTTAACAAGATAAGGGTGATTCATCAGCCGCCTAGGGAGAAAATAAAAACAAATGAAGAAAATGTATTAAGCATTTAGGTCATGATAACTTAATACAGTCTAGAAACTGAGAGACAATCCTAACAAGTAACTGGTTTGGCCATTCTAACCAGATTTTGTAGAGATTTGCTCACACAAATCTCTCATGAATACAAATTATTAGTGAGTAATTCATATGCTATCATTAAATACATAAAACACATCGGATTATAAAATATGGCAAAATTTAAATGTTCATTTAAGAGCGATTATCCATCTAATGGAAGCCCAATTTTCTCATTGAAGGCAGTGTACAGCCAATATGCTCCAGAAAAAGGAGTATAGTCTTTTACACAGTTTTATGATTAAGATCCAACTTCGAAAATAAGGCTATAACCTTGCACAATTGAGAAAAATCGAGATAATATACTCAAATTCTTATTTGCGTCGGAAGAAAGTACGACGATCATTTCAATTCCTCTGCCATAAAAATAGAGCTCAACTTCGTTTTCTTTTGGATTAAATTGGAAAGCTAAAAAATAACTGAAAAATTTACCCTTCTAATCTAAGGGTAAGAAAATTTGTAATATCATCCAAGCAATAAGTAAACTGTGATTTGCAAAAGGTTTTCTACATGATTCAATGGGATTGACTTACTTATCACTTTTGGGTTCAGGAAGCCTATGTCGAAGCTGATACTGCCCAGCCACGCAGCCTGTCGGCAACTTGTCCTCCGAATCCTGACCTTGCAATGAGATTGCTGGAGAGATTTTCCAACGTTGCTTTTCGCCGTCCGGAAGTGGCAACTCGTCCAGGTCAACACACTTGGGAAAACGACGTGGTGAAATGGAGCGGATAAATTCTTCAGATCCGTGGGTTAGAGAAGTTGGATTGTAACCAAGTAGGCGTGAGATGGTCTTACTTGTCTGGATAAGACGTCCTAGATGGTCGCGGAACGGTTCTTGCGGTGATACCGTGCCGCTGGGTAACCAAGGTGAGGGAGCACGCGCTGGCTTTGTGTGCACAGTATCCCAAGCCCATGAAGACTTGGATGGAGATCGTATTGTAGCCGAAGCAGCACGACCATTGTCGGATTCAACAGGTCGTTCGGAGCTGGCCAGATATTCGCTATCTTGATCCGACGTAAAGGTTTGGTCCTTCGTCACGCGGTGTCGATCGGCTATTTCGCATGGGTTTGGACTATAACGCAAACCCAGCTCAGGCGAAAGAAATTCTACGTCACGTGGGGTGTGCCGACGCGAACGAGAGATTAGAGCACAATTAGCACACGGACAGTGCTGCGGCACTACAGGTCCTACGGAGCGTGACGCTCTAGAGATGTCGGTTAAAGCAGAGTCCTTGAGGGCAGGGAGGCTATTATTGTTGGTCTGACAAGGGAGTTTTGTCCAAAGATCATTAAAAGTGTTCGATGAGACAAGTGCCTGCAACCGAGATTTCGCACGTAGTCGAATTTGGACAGATGAGAACAAGGTAGACAACAACAACCAGAGAAATAGTATGGTAGAGTAGTAAAATAGGCTGGCTACACCAAGGTTCACTTCGAATAAGTGCAAGAATATGGACGAACGTAAGAGTAGAATATGACTCTGTGAAGAGATTGTAGAATACTGGATCAAGAAGAAATGAGGGTTCAATATCTGAAAGATAGCGAAATATAAATGATACAAGCTATGATGGGAATTTGGTATGAAAAAGTCAAAATCACTGCAGCACAAACAAAGACTGCAAAACACATTTTTTTTAATTTTATTTAAGATAGGTTATGGTAGACTCATAAATAAGCTTGCATTTCGCTCTGAGATGTGCATTAGCAAAATTTACATGGAAACACATAGAAACGGTAGGTGAAGAAAGAGAAATATAAAATTTCTTGGCACGATATACAAGGGGCTCTGTGACGCATTCAAAATATAATAAATCTAAATTAAGCTACTAAAAATATCGAAAATATTTTTGGAGTCATATGTTATAAAAATATTCAAGTATAAATTTTAAAAAACCTAGTAGCTAGCACATTTCAAATTCCTCTACTAATTTGATGGGTCGAGGTTACCAATATAGCACACGCTCTATCGAACAAAGTAAATAAAGAAACACCTAAAAACGGACAAGAAAAATCTAGAAGTTGTTTGAAATTGTTTTCGCAACTGGGCAGGAAGACTTAGAGGAACGAACCTAATCCGGAGTCAATTGTATGCATGATCATTTACAAAGTCGGACCGTGGACGTGGTACATTCCCAGAAGTTTCGCCGGCCTCGTAGTCGGCATCGTCAGTGAGTCGTGCAATTCTTAGCATCACACTACAATTCGTCAAAGAGACAAGTGAAGCCGATCCTTTGACCAAATATGTGTTGATCACTTGTGGTATCTCTCCTTATGTCATGGGCTATTCACAGGAGGACGGCGTAACAATATGGCAGACTCTGATCAAAATTCCCAGCATAAGGGTGAGGGGGAGTGAGAACGCGACCGTGGAGTGTGGAGGGCTCTCAGTAAATCCACTTAAAAGGGCACACCAGACTACATTTAAATAAGCAAGGAACAAAAGTGTGATAGTGAAGGCGTGATACGAGGATATAAGAAAGATGAATAGCCCAGGACAGAAGGAGAGATACCACAAGTGTTTAGCACACATTCTGTCAAAGGATCGGCTTCACTTGTCTCTTTGATGAGTTGTGATATGGTGCTACGAATGGTGAGACTCACTGAAATATTTAACCATAATATTCAAGTAACAAATTTATGTGGTTAAAATGCCAAGTAGTAAATATAAAGGGTTATATGTATTCAAAATTTGTGATAAACTGAAATAAGCGGGTGCAAAAGGTAGCGCAATCGATTACAACAAAAAGGAACATTACTAACGTATGGAAAGGCTTATGAAAGCAATCCATGAATCACTACTAGCATGAAATGAGAGTCCTCTTTGATTTAAAGAATATTCTTGACCTGGTCATATAGAGTTTAGAAATTCCTATAACGATGGTTTATCCTGAGATTTCCTTGCTAGAATTTAACCTGCCATGAAGGAGACACGATTTTAGACGAAAGACTAGCTCAAGCAATCATAGTTGATATTCTGGACGTTTTTAAGCCAAGCAAACAGGTAAAATCCACGACAAGCTATTTACCTGTCCTCCTGAAGCCAGCCTGTTAATCCATTGTACTCAGTTTTTTGATGAGTAATATAAAATAAACGTCTTTGTAAGGAATTTTTCAGTGATAACTTAAAGCACTTTTTGGCTTGGAAATAAGCATATTTAGCAGAAGGTAAAAAAGAAAATGGATAATCATGAATGATCATAAAGTATATAAAAAGCAGCTTTACAAAATAAGTGAAAATAAGAAAGTAGAAAATAGGAAATTTCCACTAATAATTAGCTGAGCAAGATGCCTAATACTAAGAGCATAACTTAGGGATTTAATACAGAATCATTAAATACTGTATATCTTTTTCGAGCCGAAATAACATATGCTTTATGTAATTTTGATTAGCACAATAGGTTAGTAGCCCACCACAGAAATTTAGATAGGGCGTTTTCAATATCTTTACTTATTATAACTATCAATAATAAGTGTATATTTATCCAATAAACCTACCTGCATGCATAGGCTCAGTAGAAATTAATTCTGAGAAAATTTGTTGTGCATTGAGTAAGCAATAATATCATATATGTAAAAAATGAAGGACATAGTTTGTATTCTCTCAGAAACATGTAAGGCCATAATATCTTGATCATCAGATCTACGATTGCATTAGTATCGTTCACACAAAATCAGACAAAAGTAAAGTGAATGATAGGATTTAAGTGCAATCACTCTAAGCTTCCAATTAAGTGAGACATAAAAGCAACTTTTAAGTAATAATAGAAGCCATTTATTAAGCAGAAGCATAGGCAGGCACAAATTAGCCATTTCTAAGGTGCTTTGTAAATCAGATTTAGGCTTTGGTTCAGTCTAGGTACTATCCTAGCGATCCTAGCTTCTAATGCCGCATCCTTTTTGCCCCATTTTCACTTATTCTCTCAACTACTGCCATCCTTTTCGTGCTGATTTTTTCTCATCTTTTCTAAGCCAATCCGAACCCGAGGGCGCCCATAACGCCAGGATGGCTGGTGAATCAATCTTTTAAACGGAGAATTTGAGTGATTGATGGCCACAAGGCGGACAGTCGATGATGAGGTGATCAGATCTATTGAAACGTCTCGCGTACATTTTTTTAGCCTGGAGGTAGTAGTTTGCACCCTGGTTTGGAAAAGGATCCAGAGTAAGATATAAGAAGAAGAGAAGTGAGACATTGTGATCGGCTCTTTTGAGAAGTATTTTATCTAATAGACAGGGAAATTAACAATTATAAACGTTTAACGCATAAAACAATATAAAGAAAAACAAATAAGAATTTTTTTCCGAAACGAGCAACGTATTAGAGTGGTTTTTAACAATATTCAGACAACTATATCGTGCTTTGCGTGAGAATAAAACAAAGTTACGCTTATTGGATAGAGATATTCAGGTCAATTTATGAGCTATAAATAAATACATTATGCTAAATTTATATAGCCCAGCTTTAATGAGATTCATGCATATGATTTAGTCTTGACATGATTTGGATGCGAGAAAAATATACTATGATAAAACCAGAACTAATTTAGAGTGAATGAAGCTTTCTACAGTACGGCTTCCAAAATTAATATATTACATTAGCATATAGGTAGCCCCGACTTCGTGTATTTAACTGATCAACGTCAATAGCTTGAACATAGAGCTCAAGGAAAGTGAGAAATTAATTAACTGAGAATTTTTTACCTTCCCTTAAATTTTGAAATTTTTGAACAAGTCCCATTTTGACATAACAAAAATGGAGATCTCTGATCCTTCAGAGCTTAAGTAATTTAATTGAGTTCACAATGATATTGGAGGACTAGTTCTAGATTTTTATCCTTGTTAAAGGAGTCATAATCATCATACATAAAATTTTGTAACAAAAACAAACATATATAATCATAAGAACTGTATTCACTCTAGCTTATTTAAAGTGCTGAAAGAAAATTCTACTTATAAATCGAGAAATATAAGTATTGCAAAATTATCAATCTGC